AGGGTCCTCCCTTCCCGAACTCCACGGTCAGACGCTTGGGCCCCGCATGCCGCTCCGCCGGTTCTGGCCCACCACACTTCAGCGCTCCCTCCTCCTCCTCCTCCTCTCCTCCCTCCTCCTCCTCCTCCCTCCTCCTCCTCCTCCTCCCTCCTCCTCCTCCTCCTCCTCCCTCCTCCTCGTCCTCCTCCTCCTCCTCCTCCTCCTCCTCCTCCTCCTCCAGCCGTTCTGGCTCAGGTGTCCTGAGCTTGCTGCGGCAGACTTCAGAACGGCACCGCCGCAGCGAGCCATTGTGGCAGTGAGCTCCTGCAGGAGCACCCCATTTTGTTGAGACGGAGAACACGAGTGTTGTGTGGGCGAGGTCGAGAGGATCTCCCCGATGGCGCTCATGGCGGGGCCTGTACTACCAGGCCCCCGCAAACCCACGTGGGGGTGCCCATCCTGTGGAGCGTCGGCGAATTGGGCGAGCCGCATCAAGTGCAGATGCGGACAGGATGCACCGACGGCATTCATCCAACGTGCGAGGAAGGCTGCGAGGGAGGCGACGCAGCAGCCTGCGTCAGCGCCTCGCCGTGCATCACAGTCTCCAGCGCCGTGGAGTGATCAGTACAAGCAGATGCAGAAGCAGATGGAGTTTCTTTCAGCTGAGCTCAAGAGAGTCAAGGCTGAGAAGGGTGGTGCGGCCAAGCCCGACGGAGTGGACACGCAGCCCAAGGACTCCGACGGTAACGAGACGGACTACGCCAAGAGAGCTGCGCTTCAGAAGCGCATTGATGTACTCGACCAGTTCATCAAGCAGACGAAGGAGCTGGACGAGGATGATCCCGACTTGCCAGCGGCAAAGAAAAGGTTGGACCAGCTTCGTGAAGAGCACAGAGCCATGCGCCCGCCCGCGTCGGCACACAAGGCTGCCTTCCAGAAGCTCGAACGCTGCAAGTCGCAGAAGACGAAGATGGATAATGAGATATCGGAACTATCGGCAAGGTTGTCATCACTTCAGAATGAGTTGGATGGCAAAAAAGCTGCACTCGAGGCGAAGTCGAAGGAAGTTGATTTACTCGAAGTGGAAGTTGAAATGTCGGCAGCCAAGTTGCGTAAGCAGCGAGGCCCCAGAGGAGCTGAAGCTGCAGGAGTCCCTGAGGATTTCATCAAGCAGCTGGGCTCCAACCTCATCCGTGCTGAGGACGCCGAGCTTGAGAAGCTGTTCAAGGACCTCAGCGTACATCCGAAGTTCGAGAAGTTCCAGAAGATCATTTTTGAGAGCGTTGCCCCTGCAGGGGCGGTTGACGACCCCATGGAGGGCAGGCCTCATGCTGGGTCTGTGTCTCCTCCTGCTGCTGAGCGGCCTGCAGGTGGAGGTGCTGGTGAGAAGCGACCGCCACCCGAGATCGATCTGTCCGAGTCAGAAGCTGGAGAGGTGTGGACCAAGTTGCAGCAGGAGAGCGAGGAGACACGACCTGCCAAGCTTGCGGAGATGGCCAACGCACTCCAAAAGACGAAAGTTCGCAAAGTTGGTGATGATCAAGAGGACCTTTAGCAACCGTCCATTGGTGAGTGGATTATCTGTTGTTCAAGGTAAGACGCGTGCTGCTCCCGTACCACGAACTAGCCAGCAGCAGCCCCGTTTAGTTGAAACGTTCAATGCCAATCAAGGTCGTGAGACTTTGAAGCGCAGATTGCAACGCACCTCAGCCATAATCGTATTGGCACAGGAGTTGGGTTATTTTTCGCACAATGCGGAGGAGATTTCATCTTGGGCTGGCAGACGTGGTTGGAGTGTTATCATTGAACCAGGACATGAGACCAAGGGCCATCTCCCCTCTGCGGGAGTTGCTGTTTTCGCCCGTGCTGAAGTTGGTCTTCGACGTCCTCAAGTTGATGGTCAGACTGTCTCTGGTGTTCTGGTCGCCCACAGGGCGCTACATGTGGTGGTTGATGTGCCAGGCTGGCCAGAGATGCATATTTTCAATTTGTACCTTCATTGTTCTGAGGGCTTGACCATACGCAACTCAAGGATACTTTCTTGCATTGGGCAGTCCCTCGCTGGGCTCACATCGCCTAGTATCATTGGTGGTGACTGGAATCTCGACAAGGCGGTACTTGAGTCTTCAGGGTTCGCTAGGGCTGCCCAAGTGCAAATTGTTGCTCCAGCATCGGTCACGTGCAGGACGGCAACATCGACGAGTACGATTGACTTCTTTTGTCTCAGTGTGGGTGCACATCGCTTATTGAAGCAGATAAAGGTTGATGCTACGTGGGAAACCAAGCCACACCGTCCTGTGCAAATCGAACTGGCTGCCGATGGACATCGACTTCAGATATTGACGTATGCTGCCGTCCCAAAGCTTCCCACAATCGCTGTGTTTGGGCCTGCCCAGCAGGACTTTGATTGGTCAATGGAGCGTAGGTATGCTTCCACAGCGGTTGAGATGGCCAAGGAGTCACCTTCGGATGCTGCATGGGGTTTTCTTACCTTGGCTTGGGGAAGTTTCATCACCAGAGCTGCTGAGAGAATTGGTACCATGACGGGTGAGGAAGTCAAATGTCCTGGATCGTACGCGCGCTGCATCAAGCCGAAGTGGGTCGACGTAACTTACAATGGCAGTGATGCGGTGGGCCTTGCTGCACAAGCGGACGGATGGAAGTGGCTTTCGGATGCTCTTCAAGGTCTCAGTCTGTTGAAGCAGGCATCCAGCAATGGCGATGAGGAGAAAGCTGCGATGCTTGACGACGAGCTGATGCTGTTTCAGACGTCACCGTATCCTGGGGTTCATCTATGTTCGAGATTGGATGCAGGTGTGACGCAGGCGAGGCGATTGGTAGCAGGTCGATTCTTTCCAGAACAGATTGCTGAATTCCTTGAGGAGATTGATGAGGACGTCGAGTTTGCAAAGCAGGCTGCTGGGAGAGAATCTCAAAAACGATGGCAGAATTGGTGCGATCAAGCTGCAGCAGGAGGCGCACGAGCTTTGCACAAGATTACGCAGTATAATCAGGTCAACGAGACGACGGTGGTCACCGCTGACGGGCTTCCGTCTGCACATCCACACGCTGTTGTCGAGACAACTGCAGATGAGTATCGATCGTTGTGGGGCGCTAGCTCTGAGGCGCCCAAATCATGGATACCAGACAGGAATTCTTTCCCGAGAGCAACTGCTGCTGGCATCAGGGCCGTTGCTCAAACGTTTTCCTCATCAACTGCAGGGTCTCTGGACGGACTACATCCTAGACACCTGCTGCTCTTGGGCGATGAGAGCCTCGACATCCTCGGCATGTTGTTCGAAGCCTTCGAATCTTTGGGAATGTTACAGAAGAAGATGGCATGGATTTGCATGCCTGTGCTTCCCAAGCCGATGGGAGGACATCGACTTATAGTTCTTTATGGATCGGTATATCGTGCATGGCAAAGGCTTCGTCGACCTGAGCTTGCACCACTCCAGCAGTTTCTACGCCGTGTGTATTGGGGGGCCTCGTCGGGCCGCTCCGCTATCGATTCTGCGTGGCAGGTGGCCGCTCGTGTCGAAGCTTGCGTACATGACAAAAGGAAGAGCTTGCAGATCATTGCTGACTACAGCAAGTACTATGAGACCATTGATTTCGTTACGGTGAGGGAGAAGTTTTCTAGATATGGAGCACCCACGTGTTTGACGAAATTGTTATTCAACACTTGGTCGGCACCAAGAATCATTCGATTAATGCGGCACCATTGCCTTCAACCAGTTCACGCTCGTCGAGGATTCCCAGCGGGTGATGCATATGCGGATGTGGGGATCAAAGTACACGCGTTGGAGGAGTACGACAGATTCGCGGCGCTGCACAGTGAGCTGCATTTTTCTTCGTACATTGACGACAGCAGCCTAGGCATCGAAGCGGATACTACAGATGAGTTGATCGAGATGGCGGTGAGAGTTGGTCGCAGTTTCCAGACAACTGCGTCAAGATTGGGGGCCAAGTTTAATAACAAGCTCTCAATCGTATGCTCCGAATCTGGAGTTGGTGATAAGGTTGCTGACAAATTGGGGTTTGATTCTTCTTCCAACAAGCGAGCAGCTACGTATCTTGGAACAGATCAGGCTGGTGGGAGATCAAGGCGAGCTGCAGCCACGCGGAAGAAGCAACAGAGTCGACGTCGACGTTTTCAACATCGGTTGAAGAAAATTGCTCGGCATCGAAAGGCGATTCCCACCAAGAAGTACGAGAGGACAGGCAAAATCTTCAGAACAGGGGCGCGACCAGCCCTGACGTTCGGTGTGGAGATCACAGGCCTGTCAGATTCCGAATGGAGTGCATTACGTAGACAGTTCTTTCAGTTCGTGAAACCATGCCATGGTGGGATTTCGGCAAGTGCAAAGGCTGTACTCTTTGATGATCCTTCAGCGCGTCAAGCACTTGCCCCAGCTCTGCAGTGGTCAAGAATGATATGGCAAGCAGTTCTGGCACCAGATACGGCATTAGTTTCTTTGGATCAGCTCCGAACGTGGTGGACACAAGCTTTGCAGGATCGCCCGCTTGAGGATCTAGTGTGGGCGTCTTCGCGAGGGCCCCTTGAGCGAGCTGCTCTTTGTGTTCGCAGGGTTGGTTGGACAATCAAGCAGTGGGATGTCTGGCTTGACCATCGTGGAGTTGAAGTGCCATTGCAACAATTTACACCAGGCATGCTGGAGAAGCGACTGACTGAGTCATTACAGAGACAGTTGGAGCTCGACTTGGCTGCCAAGAGAGGGCTTCCAGCTGGCACGCGATCAAGTTATGATATTCTTCGGCCGTTCGTGAGAGAGAAGTATTCGAAGTTCACCTCATACCAGAAGTTCTTGGTCAAATCCTTTGCGCTCGGTGGCATATGGACACGTGAGCGGGCGAGATGCAAAGGTTATGAGACGGACGGTCGTTGTGATTGCGGAGCTCCAGATACGGTACATCATCGTTTGTTCACTTGCATGAGGGGTGATGTGGTGGCTGCCAGAAGTGCTTCTGAGGTACCACCCGAATTCATCCAACGCGGC